GCTGGCCTTAAATTCACTCACATCATCACTAGTTGCAGGCATTTTTCTAATTAAATCATCATGCAACTTCCTAGCCATTTCACATATGATCGCTTGAGAGATGCTATCTCCTGCTATCTGTTTTTCGTTTATCCACACCAATAAGAGTCTCTCAACATCTTCTATCACTTGCGATCTCTGTTTCGAAAACACAGTTGCACCTTTGGCAAGAACAGCTTCGTTCCATAGTATGAAACAATATGGAGATGAAGTGACAGGATGGAGCTTTTTATATTGTTTCATACTATGGAACAATGCTCTTCTCCAGACTGAGGGACTGACCACCTCAAAACTTTAAGGGTGATGGACTGATTACATCGTCTTCAAGTATCTTCTGCTTCTATCAACTTTTCTGTACTTGACTGAAGAAGCCTACTGTGTAGGCAAAACGTTTCATAATAAAGATACCTAACTGTTGCATATGTGTCTTACCTAACAACCTGTCGGTATTTTATACCATTTTAATGTTCAAGAACAGCTTCCTTGATTGCCATTTTCTTGGCCACAATAGTAGCGATGGTTGATTGGGGTTTACTATACAACCTGGCCAGCTCGGAGACACGTACTCCACTTTCATACTTAGCAATGATCTCTTTCTTCATCGCTATAGTAATTCTCACCCTTATTCCTGTAGGGTTGGCACCAGAAGCTTTCTTGGGGCCCATGGTCACTTATTTTGCAGATGAAATCACCAAAAACACTGTAATAATACGAAATGTTCCGATTGTATGCTTGGATGTTACCGCGGAGGCTGGCTTGTAAACAATGCCACCGGTGGAACATATGAGGCTGGCTCAGGCCGCACATAGACACGTCTCGGACGAATAGCGTTGAGCGAGTTTTTTAGTGCTATGCGAGGCAAAATTTTAGCGATAAAATGTATTGCTATGTGGATTTAACATTATGTTATGCCAACGTTATGCAAGGGTCGACTGTATATTATGTTTGGTAGCAGAGCAGGAGTTGCGCAAATTAACATTAAGATCGACAACACTCTAATTGCCAGAGATAATGAGGGCAAATCCCTAGGCCTATACCTCGAGAACAACCTGAATTTCAGCACCCATATAAAACACATAACCAAAAAAGTATCCAAAACGGTTGGGATCCTCTCCAAGATATGATACTACGTACCGCAAAATGCCCTTCTCACACTATACCACTCACTTATTTATCCATACCTCACCTATGCTATTTGTGCTTGGGGACCAACTGCAGCAACACACCTAAAGCCAATAATAACCCAACAAAAGGCTGCAGTAAGAATAATCACTAAATCCCATTTATTTATTTATTTATTTATTTATTTGAACATGATACAGAGAAGTACAGTGGACCCCCGGTTTACGATCAGCTCCCAATGCGACCAATTATGTAAGTGTATTTATGTAAGTGCATTTGTATGTGTATGTTTTGGGGTCTGAAATGGACTAATCTAATTCACAATATTCCTTATGGGAACAAATTCGGTCAGTACTGGCACCTGAACATACTTCTGGAATGAAATAATATCGTAAACCGGGTGTCCACTGTACAAGGAATACAATTTTTAACCTGTAAACGGTCCAAGCAGATCTACGTTCACATGTGTAGAGCTACAAAAGTAGATCTACGTTTTTTTTACATTTTTTCAAATATGACAAAAAAAAAGTAGATGAAAGTTTTTTTTACACATTTTCAAATGTAAAAAAACAAAAAAAAATCTACTTTTTTTACATACTTTCAAATGTTGAAAAAACGTATATATACATTTGGACCGTTTACGGGTTAAAGTGCAGCATGCCAAAGCCCCTTGTATGCAGAGCATTATGGGCAGGATTAAAATTAACTTAAGATTAACTAAGCAATGATATATTCAGTGGTACAAAAATTATTGTAAAACAGATAACAATTTAGTACAAATAAGTATTACATAAACAGGTCATATGGTCATTTACTGTGTTGCTGTGTAATCAGTAGAATGGAGTATTCTGGCAACACATCCCCCCACTCTTCATAGAACTAAACTTACTCCCTGTTCAGTACATCCACACTTACTACTGTGCAATTTACATCTACAGGACCTTAAATTCCAATATTAACCTTGACCTGAAATGCTTTCTTGATAGTTGTGACAGAACCCACAGGCATAACACCAGACACAAACATCTCTATGACATTCCCCGTGTCCGACTAAACCTTTACAAAAATTCAATGTATATCAAAGGCCCTAAAATTTGGAACACCCTCCCTGAAAACTCTAGAACTGCAGACACATTCATCACCTTCAAAACTACCATTAGAAAACATCTTATCTCCCTGATACACCCCGTCAACTAATTACACGAATACCACCTGGTGGTTCACACTTACACTCACTCACCCATTTGACCATAAACACAGAAATATCAATCTTAATCTTAAAATAAAGAATCCTAACTAGTCATAAGTTGCCCTGTGATACTCCAATACTGAAACTATGTATTGTGCAAAAACAAAAGCATTCACATTGCTAAACTCACAAACTAGTATTTAGTCACTTAGCCATAATACCAACTTACCTCATAATTTGTAATATTTTAAAATTAAGAATTAATCTAAGTCTGCCCAAAATGCCTAGCCATGCTAGGTGTTCTATTGGCCCCCTCTGTAATTAGTATTTTAAAACATGTAAACCACACAATATCCAAATTCTGTAAACCCAGCATTGTAATCCTTATAGAGAATGAACTTGACTGATTGATTGATTGTAGCAGGGCATTGGTTACAAGTTCAATAGGTGATTTGATTCCTTCCTTTCTTTCTTCTAGTAATTTTTTATGACCTGTGAGACCAATATAAGGTATATTTAATATATATTCACTCATTGTATGCTACACAATAACCTCACAGTCATTATATTGTTTACAAAACATGTTTACACAAACCAACAATAAAAAATGTTGTTTATTACTATTTTTCTATCACATATATACACATATAAAGTCACTGGACACTTGCCAGAACTGCTGCAGCTTCTGTAAAGCTTGTAGTTGTTGTGTGGGGGTGGACTTGCAGTTGTTGTGTGGGGGTGGACTTGTTGTTGTGTGGGGGTGGACTTGTAGTTGTTGTTGGGTGACTGTTGTTGTGGGGGTGGACTTGTGTTGTTGTGTGGGGGTGGACTTGTATTGTTGTGTGGGGGTGGACTTGTAGTTGTTGTGTGGGGGTGGACTTGTTGTTGTGTGGGGTGGACTTGTAGTTGTTGTGTGGGGGTGGACTTGTTGTTGTGTGGGGGTGGACTGTGTTGTTGTTGTGTGGGGGTGGACTTGTTGTTGTGTGGGGGTGGACTTGTTGTTGTGTGGGGGTGGACTTGTTGTTGTGTGGGGGTGGACTTGTTGTTGTGTGGGGGTGGACTTCTTGTTGTGTGGGGGTGGACTTGTTGTTGTGTGGGGGTGGACTTGTTGTTTGTGTGGGGTGGACTTGTTGTTGTGTGGGGTGGACTTGTTGTTGTGTGGGGTGGACTTGTTTGTTGTGTGGGGGTGGACTTGTTGTTGTGTGTGGGGTGGACTTGTTGTTGTGTGGGGGTGGACTTGTTGTTGTGTGGGGTGGACTTGTTGTTGTGTGGGGTGGACTTGTTGTTGTTGTGTGTGGGGGTGACTTGTTGTTGTGTGGGGGTGGACTTGTATTGTTGTGTGGGGGTGACTTGTTGTTGTGTGGGGTGACTTGTTGTTGTGTGGGGTGGACTGTAGTTGTTGTGTGGGGTGGACTTGTTTGTTGTGTGGGGTGGACTTGTAGTTGTTGTTGGGGGTGGACTTGTTGTTGTGTGGGGGTGGACTTGTAGTTGTTGTGTGGGGGTGGACTTGTAGTTGTTGTGTGGGGGTGGACTTGTAGTTGTTGTGTGGGGGTGGACTTGTGTTGTGTGGGGTGGACTTGTAGTTGTTGTGTGGGGGTGGACTTGTAGTTGTTGTGTGGGGGTGGACTTGTAGTTGTTGTGTGGGGGTGGACTTGTAGTTGTTGTGTGGGGGCGGACTTGTAGTTGTGTGGGGACTTTAGTGGTGTGGGGTGGACTTGTAGTTGTTGTGTGGGGGTGGACTTGTAGTTGTTGTGTGGGGGGGCGGACTTGTAAATATGCTGAGTCACCAGCATAATTAGTGTCGCAATGACAAATCACACCATCACTCACCACCCTCACTCAACACCCAATCCACATGAAAATAAGTCACTTCTGAATTTTTTCGGTTATCCAAGGTTGATGGTCTCCTTCCTTCCTTCCCTCCTTCCTTCCTCTCATCTCTTCATTTCTTCCTTCCTTTCATCTCTTTCTTCCTCCCTCCCTTCCTTCCTTCCTTCCTTCCTTCCTTCCTTCTTTCCTTCCTTCCTTCCTTCCTTCCTTCCTTCCTTCCTTCCTTCTTTCCTTCCTTCCTTCCTTCCTTCCTTCCTTCCTTTGGGTTTCCTGGGCATTGCTTTCAGTCACAAACTCCTCAGAACCATGAAATTCATCTTCACTGACACTTCCATCTGTGTTTGAACTCTCACTTGGGAACAAAAGAGCCCCAATTAACCAAGGAGTGAGGAGTTTTTTAGCGCTGGACATGGTGAACAAGGTGAAATAAAATGGCTTTCCCACAACGCACCACTGGGTCCCTGATTTTTTTGTACCACGCACACTGACCACAGAGACCCATTCTCTCACATCTAAGCCTACCAGCCTTTTTCTGCTTGATTTGAAGATGCTAGAATTTATGCGTACTAGTACGTCAATAACCCTGGCACGTAAGACATATTAGCACATCAAAAACCCTGAAAGCATTAAGGGTTAATTGTTAATTTAATGATTTAAGAATAGAATTTTTTAAACTGTTTACCCGGAGTTTACCTGGAGAGAGTTCCTGGGGTCAATGCCCCCGCGGCCCGGTCTGTGACCAGGCCTAATGTGTCTTAAAATTTTATAAAGTGTAGTAAAAGCAGAAACCAGCCAAGTGACAGAATATAATTCTGTTTGTCTCCCTTTGTAGGTATCACATGATGATGTGCCTGAAGAGCTTTGGTAGTGACAACCCCTTGTTGAAGTACACAGTGGATCACTCAATCAGGTGAGTGCTATCTCCCTCTCCACCTCACTACTGATTCTTTTTCCCTCCTGCTACTGCCTCCTTCATCCCTACACTGCTTCGTACCTCACTCTTCCTCACCTTTCTCATCCATGTTCGCCCCTTCCCTTACCTCTTTCCTGGTAGTAACACCCTGGTAATGTTATACTCCCTCACACAGGATGACAGACACCCAGAAGAAGCTGGTTGAAGAGACACTGAAACTCCCGAACGGAGCAATGATGGGTGCGCCTGAAGTGCTGCAGCTCAGTGCAAACCTCATCCAAGTCATTGGTGCCAAGAAGGTCAGGTCTGAGTGTGTAGAAAGGGTCATGACAGCAATATCCCATCGTATCTTGGGAAGTTAAGGGCATTTCTTAGTGGGTAAGAAGGGTTATGGCATCAAGGTGACATGTGATATCATATGTGGGATGGATCAGATAATGGTTTGAGGAGGGGATTGAATTAAAGTTCAGTCTTCTGGAGTAAGTTAAATGCTGCAGATTAAAACTTTAGGGACAGTGATTTCCTGCATTAGAATGCAAAAGTGACCTACAAGAAATGTTCACAATTATCATACCTATTAGGGGATTAAAACCATAGGGTCATATAAAAATAATAATATCTTTATTTCTATAAATATATGTACAAGGTATACAGGCCTAGCTGACATCAATGACATACCACTATATAAAAAGCAGCTTGTTATACAAAGCATTTCGGGAAAATTAGGTAAGTTATGTCCCAGGATGCGACCCACACTAGTCAACTGACACACGTGAATATGGGCATTAGGTGTCTTATGGAAAACAACCTAATGTTTTCCAGCCATACCAGGATTCAAACCCCAGACATCAGTGTGTGAGCTGAGTGTGCTAGCAATTAAGCTGCAGGAGTAGGATAATACTACGTAATAATAATTTTATTTTAGCATGACACATGTTTGTACAAAGGAGTGTAATATTGGGTAAACATGCCAAAAGCCCCTTTATATGCAAATCATTTCGGGCACGTTAAGGCTTGAGTGGAACTTCAGTTTTTGTCATTAATTCATTCCAGAAAGTCTGATGAAAACCGAATTCGATGACAACTGAAGCAATATTTCCTATAAGAACTAATGTAAATCCACTTAATCTGTTTCAGACACCCAAAAATATTAAAAAAAAGTACATTTTATTGAGAATAACTACAGTTTTACACACAGAAAACAGTAAGAAATGAATACACCTACCATACGACTTATGACCTGCTCGACATACGACCACTCGACTTATGACCATGTTTTTTATGCCAAATTTCTGGGAAATAAACAACTACAGTGGACCCCCGGTTTACGATCAGCTCCCAATGCGACCAATTATGTAAGTGTATTTATGTAAGTGTGTTTGTATGTGTATGTTTGTGAGTCTGAAATGGACTAATCTAATTCACAATATTCCTTATGGGAACAAATTCGGTCAGTACTGGCACCTGAACATACTTCTGGAGTGAAATAATATCATAAACCGGGGGTTCACTGTATTTGTGTTGTACACAGTGTTTATCCTAAACCTTAAAGTATAAAATACAGTACTAACAGCATAAAAAGTAAAGTAAAACATGAAATACCAAAATAAAACAATAAAATAAAGTCATTACAAAAATGTGATGTTGATATTCAGTAGTAAAGTTCGACTTACGTTCATTTCGACTTACGACCGGTTTCTTGGAACCGAACTCGGTCGTAAGTCAGATGATACCTGTAAAGGACTAATGAAATGGATAAATGAATATGTAAGATCACTTTTACCTTTATTGAAGACTCATGTGGCGTATGGAAGATGGCGAGGAAGGGAAATGTAGGAGAGATTATCTTTACCACCATCACTACCACCCTCTACCACCACCACTACCACCACCACTACCACCACCACTACCACCACCACTACCACCACCACCCTCTACCACTGTCACTGCCACCATCACCACTAAGAGAACATGTAGGCCAGGATGAATTACAACAATTGGATATGCTGAATATTGAAGACAGAGTAAAGCAGCTGAAGTTAAATCTAGTTTATAAAATTGCTCACAGTGTCCAGAATATCTTGCTGCTAATTTTGTCAAGGTTGGGAACCGAAGCAGTCATAGTACTAGGGGGAGAGAACACAACTTTGTAGTACCCACAGTTAGTGACCAGGCTTCAAACACCTTTTATTGTACAGCAGTAAAGGAATGGAACAGATTGCCTGCACATGCCAAAGCCAGTCATAGCATGAGCCAGTTCAAGAAGAGAACCAAAAGGTACCTAATGAATGTAGTGACAGAAAGGGAGGAGAATGATTTTTTCTTTTTTTTTTAGCTAATACACATGTAAATATAAATAACTTTTTACCTTATTCCTAGTACAGTGGAACCTCTACTTGCGAGTGCATCCACATGCAAGTTTTTCCAAATACAGTGGACCCCCGCTTAACGATCACCTCCCAATGCGACCAGTTATGTAAATGTATTTATGTAAGTGCGTTTGTACGTGTATGTTTGGGGGTCTGAAATGGACTAATCTACTTCACAATATTCCTTATGGGAACAAATTCGGTCACTACTGGCACCTGAACATACTTCTGGAATGAAAAAATATCGTTATCCGGGGGTCCACTGTACAAGCAGTCGATGGGTCGACTTTTTGTTTCCATACGAGAGCAAAATTTCCATAAGCGAGCAGACCTCAAGGCAGGTTCCTTGACGCTGGTGAGGGGCTCTTGCTCTTGATCTAGGAAATTGTATCTCATTTGTTTGCTGTACTATCTTATTGAAACTTGGGCAATGTATGAAGGAAAGATGCTTCTTAACGTACACTAAAAATGAAAGAAGTCTAAGCATAAATAATGGAGTTCACTTCTCAGCAATTAGCCACCCCTTAGCGGTATTTTCATATGGTTTTTCTGGTTGTATTCACCGCCGCTGCCACATATATAATGACATATTTTATTCATTCTAGAGTATACATCAGGTTTCTATGTTATTTATATTGTTTATTATGTCATATTAGATGAACTGTGATAGATAAATAAGCTGTATAGATGGAAATAAATGGTATAAAATACTGACACAATGGAAATATAAAATCATCACTTATTTCTATATCCAACAACTTCAACCAGAATAGTGGCTTCTATAACATAGCTGAACCACTTGCGAAGAAACTTCTTCATCGCTATCCCACATAAGAACATAGGAATGGAAGAACACTGCAGAAGGTCTGCTCACAAACCTATCCAATCTCCCTTCCAAGCTACCCAAGATTTTAGACTCTATAACCCCACTCGGTGCATCATCAGATGCAGCATTCTCCACCTGACTTCAGCATTCTGAACCTGACTATAAATACTCGCGTACCTTCCACCCCAGGTAGATCTGTTTGTGACTTGAAAAAGCCCACTGTGTGGGCAAAACGTTGTCAATAAAGGATCACATTGTACTGCATATGTGTTTATATTTCCAAGCTGTATAGATGATATTAGCGAAATTATTCAAGAAGTATTTTGTCCAGTCTCCAGACAAACTTGTCCACCACCGACATTGCTCACATCATTACATGAATTACATATTTTATTCATTTTAGAGTATATATATCAGGTTTCTATGTTATTTATATTGTTTGTCATATTAGATGAAGTGAGATAGATAAATAAGCAATAGAGTTGATATTAGCGAAATTATTGAAGCACAGAATTCCACTGGAATGGATTAATTGCATTTCAATTAATTTAAATGAGGAAAATTGACTCTGCAAACAAGCAAATCCAGTTGCGAGCAAGGTAATGGAACGGATTAAACTTGCAAGTAGAGGTTCCACTGTATATCCTTTATAGTATAATAATAAGATATCTCCTACATTGTACAGGTCTACCTTAACATTCGCGAGAGTTAGGGGATCAAGAGCCTCGCGAATGTTGAAAAACCACGAATGTTTGGTGCCCCAATATATTGTAGGGAAATATAATACAATGCTGCTTTCTTAACTTGTTAAACCATGAACAATCATAAAATACATGAAAACGTCGTAAATTGTACTAAATACATACATGTTATGCTTTAATAACATGTATGTTATTAAATACCACTGCCTCCACCACTGCCTCTACCACTTCCTCAACCACTGCGAGTCCCTACTACCCTCCCTCTGACCCACACAACTGGCAGCCAGCCCCCCCACCACTGTGTGGTGAGTGTTTTGTTTGTTCATTATTTGCTATTAAACTACAGTATAAATAATGTAAACCCATTCATGACTGCATATTGGAATGGCTATTTGGACAGGTATTGGACGGTGACATCACGTGTTTACTCTTGAACACAGGAAAGAATCAAACATTTCTGCTACTGCTAATAATACTAATAATTATAATAATAATAATAATAAATATGATAGAAATGAAGGAGGAAATTATACAAAAATACGAGGGAGTGGTTGATGTACTGTCAGTGTGGCTTTGTTTGTGCTGGAGTGAGCATTATTCTCTGTGCTCTTCCAAACATTTCACAATAATTCATTGTGTTTGGTGCTTGTAGATTGAGTGCAACTGGAGTGGTAGAGGCAGTGGTTGAGGAATCAGTTGAGGCAGTGGGTGAGGCAGTGGGTGAGGCAGTGGGTGAGGCAGTGGGTGAGGCAGCGGTTGAGGCAGCAGTTGAGGTAATGGTAGAGGCAGTTGTTGAGGCAGTGGTTGAGGCAGTGGTTGAGGCAATGGTAGAGGCAGTTGTTGAGGCAGTGGTTGAGGCAATGTTCATTTATACAATATCAATGTTCATTTATACAATATATTAGTGCTTTACATTTATTTGGCATTCTTTTCTGCATGTAAATCTATATTTAAGCTAGGTAAGTGACCCCTGAAGTGACCTAGAGTCCTTATGGAGGGGGATTCCCCTTCCAAACAATAACCTCTCTTCCCTCTCTCCTCCTCCCTATCTTCCATTCATCAACAACAGCCTTCAATAAAGGTAACTGTCATGTTGAATGTTCATTCTTTTGTGCATGTAAATCTCTCTTTAAGGTAAAAAAAAACTGTTGTTGATACTTCTGGGTGTCAGGAATGGATTAATTGTATTTACATTATTTCTTGTGGGGAAAATTGATTAAAAAATCGTAGATTTCGATAATACTAGCACCTCCAGGAACATATTAATTATGAAAAACGAGGGACCACTGTAATCTGTTCCTGACACCCAGAAGTATTAAAACAAAAAAAATTTTTACATGAAATATAGATGTAGTACATAAACAATACAATGGGACATGATGAATGAAACATTAACAGCATAA